CAGGATTTAAATTCAGGATCGAAGTGTCTTCCCAGACCATGGACAGAGCTGTGTGGCCCAGCTGTCCGCTCCTTTTCCATATTGCCCTCCCTTTCGTTGGCTCTCCACCCAGACCTGACCCCATCTGCCTTTTTTTCATGAGTGACCTTTGAAACTCAGGCTTCACAGATATTTGCTGAATCAGCAGGAACAACTGCTGCTCCTCTTGCTTGGTTTCAGGCCAACAGGGAAAGAAAGGTTCCAGGATGCCTTTGTGAGGCCCTGTGGGTCTAGGAAGGGCTGGGGAGTAAGGAAGGAGAGAGCAGGGCCTGAGCGCGGCAAAGGGGGCTGGTGAGGGGGAGGAAGACCGTCAGCACTTCCCAAAAGCTGGGGATGACTTGTTTCTCTTGAATTGTTCTTTTGGGGTGAAAGGGAGGGAAGAGCAGCAGTCTGGGCCCTTGGAAAGGCAGGGGACAGCAAATCTTTACAAGGGCCTACTCCATGCCAGCTCCCAGATGAGCAAAAAGACACACACTCCCTTCTTTCAGCTTCATTCTGGCGCCATTTTCCTGCTTACCAGCTAGAAGTCCTCTCCTTGCTGGGGACAGGGAACAGAATGACAGGCAGGTTGATGAGCACTGACCATAACGCTGTTTCCTCAGCAGCCAGGCTTTCTAGGCACGAGGTAGCAAAGGACCCTGAGTACTGAGGCTTCCCTTACCCTGTTGATAGGGTTTTGCTTGGGGGGATGGGGTTAGGGTAGTGGGTGACTATACTGTCAGAAGACGGGATGATATGCATATGCAGTACAGATATCTCTGTGCATTGAATCTTCCGGGCACTGTCCCCTATCAGCTATCCTTTATTCTTACTGTTCCTGACAGAAACCCTTGACTCCAACCCAGAAAATCTTCTCTGTGTGCTCTGAATGTGATTTGTATGCTCACCCTTTCACCCTGTTCTTTTCTGATAGAGGGTAGCTCTGGGCAACTGCAGTCTGCTTATACTTGTTTAGATGCTTCCAGATACATGTTTCCTATATGTTAAGCCGGGACTGTTTGCTTCTTTCCTATCTTTCCATAGCAGAGAGTGCAGGGATTTGAATGGACTGGACCCTTGATACAATAGAGTTGACTGACTGACAGACCCTTCATACTCTTTCAGTAGCTCCCAGGATGGCCCCATCATGAGCTGCACCTCCAAGCAAAGATACCTACTCCAATTAGCATCTTAGATAACAGGGTAAAAAGCACACCCAATGCTCTTTTAGTCATCCTCTAGCCTCTGGTCAGTATGAGACCACGGAGCTCAAAAGATGACCCAAGATTTATTTTATGCTGAAAGAATTGGGAGTAGAGAGGAGACTTTAGAGAGAAGGAGACTTCCTTATGCAGCTTACGCAGAAGCAGAGGATAGAAAGAAGAAAATATGGGAGAGAGAAAGTGTGTGGAGGGAGGGAAGAGAGGGAGAAGAGAGAAGGAAGGAAAAAGAGAAAGGGGGGAAATAGTGAGGAAGAGGAAGTGTATAGAAGGAAACGAGAGGAAGGAAGATAAAAGAGTATAGGAGCTACTGAACCATTCAGGCTTCATGGCCACTTGGAGATGAGGAGTCTGGTGTAGGAGCTAACTGAATTATAATGCAAGAATCTAACCCAGCCTCCAATAACCCTCTGCTTGGGGACCTGGGCAAGCCCTGGGATCCACAGGCTCTAAATGCACGGCTGGGTGGGTGGGCTTAAACAGAGAAGCTGTTGTCACACTGAAGCCAGTAGCTTCAGGTAGCGTCGTGTGCTTCCGCTGTAAGGAGGAGACTTTGCCAGGTCAGGCTGAGGCTCTGGCTCCAGCCAGGAAAGGGATAATCAATTCTGTAGATGCTGTGAGCCTTGATTGAAAAATAAAGAGGAGGAAGCTACGATTGCTGCTTTCATTAAGAGGCAAAAGCAGTGGGGGCTGGAGCTTAGCAAGAGCCATGAAGCATGCAGAAAAAGAATTTTAACCTCTCGAGTATCTTTTTTCTATGATTTCTCTGCACTCACTCATCCCCACATCGTTGCTTCCTTGGCCTGACCTCCAAGGCCTTTCTATCTCCCTCGGCTGAAGAAGGGAGAGAGGCCAGCCTGCATATTAATGCAGATCTGATGACAATTAAACAGTCCATTATTTCCCAGTCCCAGGTTCCCTGGGGCTCCTGTCTCTCCTGGATTTGGGCAGGAAGAAGAGTTCTGGGGATAAGAGACAAACTGTGTGATGAGATAATGCATCTAACACAGTGCCTGGCCCCTGGTAATGCTTACCCACCCCTCACAACCTCCTGGGGCAGCATTCTCACTATAATGAGGCCAAAGAAGGGAAAATAAGAAATGAAAAAAGATTTCAGCAAAATGGTAATCCAAAAACCCCCTCTGCCGTCTCTTCCTTCTACTTCAGCACCCCTAGTAAAGGACTGGTTCAGCAGGGAGCTCTCCAGGAGAAACACCAGGGAGAGGGCTGCTGGCTCTGCTCATCTCCTCACCTCACCCTGTCAATAGAGATCTCCCTGCCTGCTGGCTGCATCTAGTCCTGCACCAGTGAAAGGCATGGGCAGAGAAGGACAGATATACAAAATGGGGGTCATCAGTAGAGAGCAAGGTGGGGCCAAACATAGTCAGCAAAGATGATTCCATCCTGAGGTTCTGTGGGGGAAACTTGGGTTGAAGTTAGGCAAAAACAGTGGGGAGAAATGGGTGGTCCAAAAGGCATTCAGCAAGCCAAGGTGCCCATGATTTCACATCTAAAGGGAGAGAGAGCTGCAGGGAGGAGATGAGGCATGTATGTCCAGGCCCAAGCTCTCTAATCTCTGGGTGTCCAGACTTGGGGAACAGGAGAAAAAGCTGAAGAATCTGGAGAAGTGAAGGAGCTACTGGTGGTATTAACTGCTTAGTGCCCGGCACAACTTCCTAAGTGAGAGATTTCCAACAACTTCCACTCTCCTCCACCATTCTAATTATTTCTTATTTTTGTCTGCTCTTGGGAAGCAGAAGCAGGACAAGGGAGAAGGAAAGATGATGGTTCCTCTCTGGTTTTTCCATGTGAGGCTGGATAGGAATCCAGGTGATTCCTAAATCCCTGAATTCCCAGCAAGAGCCCTTGGGCAAGAGAGGTGGGGCTCTCTAAGCCACTTGGGTGTCACAGCAAAGTCCTTATCCAAGAAAAAAATCTTTCTTCACCCCTTCTTGCCCACACAGTCCTCTGAAGGAATGCAAAGAAAGTGGGATGAAGTGGAAGAAAAGGAGACACCAAAGGCCATGAAGAGAGGAATCGGGTGAAGAACCATCATTACCAGGAAGCTGTGGCTGCCCCCAGGGAGGCGGAATGGAATAGTTCTTTCCCCTTATCTGGGAAAAAAGCCACATGGTATCTTGAACCTTTTGATGAGCTATGGGCATGAGGGAAAACTGACTTTCTGTTTTTTTATGCTAGATAAGGAAAGAAAATGGTGAAATTGAAAGAAGAGCAAATGAGCCATTGAGGGAGCTGGGGAAGAAAACTGCATCTTTTAGGGGCTTGCATTAAATGCATTAGGTTTGCCAAGTCAGATCATCCTAGATCTTTCTCTCTAGGATCCCATGGTTCTGGTCAAATCTACCCTGTAAGCTAACATGTCCTGACCCAACTTCTTCAACTCTACAGTAGATGTGAGGGGAAAATGAGTTTTTAAGAAGTACATCAAATCTTCACAAGTATCCCAGACCTAAAGCATGCCAAGACTGGGTGAAGATGCGATTCTTGGCTCTCCTCACCCCCACACCCCCAACCCAACTCCTTCAGCAGCAGCATTGTCAGGGTTGGGTGTTGACCAGGTACTGATTTTCCCTGAGCTGTTCTTCCATGGAGTTCTCTTATCATCTTTCCAACCAGAGAAAGGAGGCTGACATGTCACAGCCTTCCCAATACAGAGAGAATATTCTGCTCCTCTTTCCTCTTCTTCCCATGTCCTTAGTTCATAGACATTGGGAATGAAGGAAGAGCTTGCAGTCCTGGAGTCCCTCATGGGAGGTTAATTAGCATATTTCTCTCAAGACTCAACATGAGACTCCAGTTATCACCCAAGAACCAAAGGGGAACAAGGTTTGCAATCACCAGCCATAACAGATTTAAACAAGAATTACATTCAAATACCCAACTCCATTTGCCAACTATCTCTCTCATCATTGTTCCCTTTCCATGACTGCCAAACACCCTGCACAGAAACCCTCCTTGAGTCAGAGGGAAACGCTCTGACCAGACTGAGGCCTCACACTATAACTGAGTCTTCCATTGTCTTGGTAGGTTGTTACCTTGCACCCCTTTGGTTCTATGGGGATCCATATGAAAGGCACCCACTCAGGTCAGAGCAGAGTAAGCTTCCCTAAATGAGTCACTCCTCTCTGACTCCCACTGCATCAATTAAAGAGCCAGCTTGTTCCTGTGGGAAATCTTTCCTTTCACCCTTCATCTTCCTCTACATCCAGGCCCCCCTGACTTCTCACCTCACTCCTGCTCTTCAGCCTCATCCTCTCCCTCCGCAATTCCCTCCGACCCCAATTCTACTCTTCCTGGGCCCTAGTCCTTTGAAAGCTCTTAACACACCTCTTTGCCAAGCCTTCGCCTTATTCATGTCTCACTTTTCATTCAAATAACTTTACTAGCCAAACTCACTTCCAAAATTTTCCTGACTTAAAAGCATTCTTTAAGACTATTTTTTTCAGTTTAATCTTCACCCCAACTTCCTCTAAATCTCGTCTACTTTAAAAGCTGCCAGTTTCCAATATCCCCAATCACTTAAACCCCATTTATTTTCTCCTTTGTCCCCAGTGATGGTCTGGGTACTTTGCCCCAGCACCCCCATAAACCCTCTCAAACACTGATACCACTCCCTTCTTTCCCCATTACCCTAGTCCTCCAGACTCTTAGTGCACCCGATTTCCCCTCTTTCTCCTCCTCATACCCATTTCCTTCCCTTTCTCCTACCACAACAGACCCCATGCCTTCTTCCCCACTCACTCGGGTCTCCTGCTCAGGACGCCCTTGCTGAGGGCAGCGGGGGATTTGTGCTGAAGGAGGGTTCCAGCGGCAGCGCAACAACTCGGGGGACGCTCCTTCTCCTTGTCGGCGACCGCCCCAGGCGCCACCGGGTGCTGGTGGGGCGACTGGGGTGCGTGAGCCCTGCTGCTGGGGCCCGGAGGGGGCTGCACCAGGATCTGTCCGTGGTGCTGAAGCGGTGGCTGCTCCGGCGCAGGCTGTGGCGAAGCGGGCAGGAGCTGTCCGTGGTTCTGGAGCGGTTCCTGGGCCCCGGCGGCGGCGGCGGCGGCAGCAGTGACTGGGATAGCAGGCAGCGGGGTTGGCGACGGGGGGACGAGCCCAGGCGGAGGCTGGGCTTGCAGCAGCTGCTGGTGCTCCCACAGGCTTCGGTTCTCGGCGCTTAGCTCGTCCAGCCGCCTCTCCAGCTCGTCGATGCGCTGGCGCTGGGTGTGGATGAGGCTCTGCTGGTTCTGCACGATGGCCGTGAGCTCCTTGAGGTAGAGCACGGCACGCACCGGATTCTCCAGCAGGCTCTCCATGCCGCCCGCCGCCTCCTGTGCCCTGCCTGCGCCTCGGCGGGCGACAGGGAGCGCGAGGGCGCGCAGGAGCGGAGCAGCCCCAGCGATCCGCTCGCTTCCCTCTTCTGCGGGCCCAGCCTCCCTCCCCGCCGCCGGCGCCGCGTCACGGCCACACATTCACACACGCACCGAGGGGCGGGACCGCGGCGCCAGGGCCAACCTACCCACCCTCCCAACTCCAGGCTTCTTCGTCCACCCACCTCCCGGCTTCGTGAGGATCCTCGGTTTCCTACAGGGCTGACAGAAGGGAGGAGGGGGGCGGGGGAGTGTCGGGTGAGAGAGTAGGTAGTAGAGCCGGATAAACGAAGAAGAGCCGAGGTGGATAAGATAAATCCAGAGAGAACAGGAAAGCTGGCAAGGCGGAAGTAGAGGTACTGGGAAAGTGCTGTGGGACGGGTAGGAAAGGGGAAGCAAATAAGGAAAGAGGACAAGAAGAGGGAGAGGCTGGGAGAACGAGGAAGCAGAAAAAAGGGAAGATGGCAAAAGGAGAGAGAGAGATATTTAAAAGGAGGAAGTCACGGGACTCTGAAAGGATCACGAATTCTTTTCCCTATGCCCAGCTATCCCAGAGGCTGGGGGTTCATCTTAAAAACCTTCTGAGGAGAGGCCGCCCTTGCCTCTTTTGTACTCAACATCTATTCTGCTGGGGAATTCTCTGGAACACAAGGATCATGAGACTGTAAGGGACCTTAGAGAACATCTAGTCCTACTTCTTTGTTCAGCGAAGAGGAAACTTAGAATGGGAAGGTCGTTTATGCTGGGTTTTCTCTGGAAATTAGAGCTCAGGACAGTTTGGGCCATTCTAATAAGAACACAAAGTAAATGAACCAGGCCCTCTGTGTCATGGGCTAATGCTTCCAGAAACTTCTGAAGGGGTCATTCTGTTTGAAAAAATATTTATAAAATTCATGCTACTGCAAAACACTGGGCTAGGTGGTGGTAAGATAAGGATGATTGGGATGGAATCTTTGACTTCTTGAAGCTTGTGATTAAGTATGTGAAACAGGTAATAAATATTTAATTTCAATATACAGTGGTGGTTGTAAGTGATAAAATAGGGATATGCCCAGAGTGCTATAGGAGCCTAACAGTGTGGGGATCTGGGGAAGCTTATTGAAGGAAATAACACTTGAAGTGGGAAGGATTTTCTAGAAAGATGGAGCAGCATAAGCAAAAGCTCAGAGATATGAATTAGCATGGACTGAAGCACTCATTAATTTCTACAATAAATGTATGTATAACACCCACTAAGTGCTATGTACTGGGAACTATGCGGGCTACATCTAGCTAGATAATAACTTATAGTTTCTATAATCAACAAGATTACAATTTAGTAGAGTAGATATGGTGTGCACAATAATAACTAAAATACAAATCAAAATTTCTGCAAGATGGGCTGGCCGTGTGGCGCATTGGTTAAGAGCTGGCTTAGGACGCCAGAGAGCCTGGGTTCGGATCCCACATATGAGGGCCAGTGACACTGCCCTCTACAGCTAAGATGCTGAACAACAGCTCAACCTGGAGCTGGGCTGCCATGAGTCACCTGCGACTGTGTAGGCTGCAGCCCCTGCGGCAGTGGGTTGCCATGGGCTACCGTGTGTAGCCAGCAGCCAGCGTGAGCGGCCAGCAGCCGCAGTGAGCGGCCGTCCAGAAGCCGGCGACTGATCTGCCTCACCAGGGAAGAGTGCAATGATGGTGCCAACTTGGGCCAGTGAAGCAACATCCTCCACAACTAGACTGAAGAACAAAAGGACAGCAACTTGTCTGTTCCCCTTCCCCCAATTCCCCAATAAAGATCCTATACCCCAATTCCCCAATTAAAAAATCTTTAAAATAAAATTCTGCAAGAGCCCTTCAAGCCAAGTGCCATAGAAGTTCCAGGGAAGGAGAGGTTGTGTTTAACTGTGGGGAGCTGATAAGGAAGAGGCATTATTCAAGCTGGGCCATGAAGGATGGGAAGGATTTCAACAGGTAGAACAAGGGGCCAGAAAATGGTGAAGATATGTTAGCAGGAAAAGATTAAGGAATGGAAATAGTGCATCTTAGTTTTAATCTAATTTGGCAGGGAAATGACCCTCTCCTCTGGGCAATGAGTGCTCTTAGCATATCTATTGTACTCTTCACTTCTCCACGCAGGTGGTCCTTTAGGTTCCCTGGCCTGCTGTTCCTCCATGGCAGGCATATCTGTGGATACCATGTGTCCAATGAGCTGGGCCAGCCAAGCCCGTCTGGTGCCAGACTTGAATGACCTTATGGGAAGAGATCTGTGCTCTGCAAATATATTGGTTTCCCTGCACTTGTTATGTGTTTTTATTTTGCTTTCTTCTCATTTATTTTCCTTTCTTCTCATTTATTTTCCTAGCAGACTTCCTTTTGTAAAGAATGAGTGAAGGGAGCTTATCCACAGCTGAGCCATCAGTTAGAACAGAGGACCCAGGAGAGTAATTTGGTAGCAATCAGCATTCCAGCTAAAGAGTGGAGGTTGGAGGATGGAATGAGGGCACACAAAAAAATCAAACTTTTCTTCTGAATTTTCTTTGCTTGTTTGGTTGAGTTATTGTCCAAGAGTTGGATGCTCATAAAGACCAGTAATATTCCTATAAGTGAAACAACCTGCAGCATAATTATCCATGCGGCTTCTTTAAATGCAGATATTTGGGTCCCATATTAGTCCTGCTGTGGTGGAATCACTAGGAATGGGGCCCAAGTGTTTTCATTTTTAATTGTTTTTTCTTTTATTTTAAAAATTAAACTTTGTCGAATTACAATTTACATGTCATAATATGCACCCACTTTGCGTGCACAGTTCAGTGAATTTTGACATATACACCCAAGTAGTCAAATGTTCCATCACTACAAAAAGTAACCTTATGCCCTTTTGGAGTCCATTACTCTCATTCTCAGTCCCGGTCAACTGCTGATCTACTTTCTGTCAAGAAAAATTAGCTCTGCCATTCTAGAATTTTATATATATGGCAATCATACAGTATATACTCTTTTGTGTCTGTCATTTTTGCTCAGCACAATGCTTTTTTTTTAATTTTTATTGGGGAATTGGGGGATGGGGAACAGACAAGTTGCTGTCCTTTTGTTCTTCAGTCTAGTTGTGGAGGACGTTGCTTCACTGGCCCAAGTTGGCACCGTCATTGCGCTCTTCCCTGGTGAGGCAGATCAGTCGCCAGCTTCTGGACGCCGCTCACCGCGGCTGCTGGCCGCTCACGCTGGCTGCTGGCTACTGGCTACACACGGTAGCCCATGGCAACCCACTGCAGCAGGGGCTGCAGCCTACGCAGTGGCAGGTGACTCACTGCAGCCCAGCTCCAGGTTGAGCTGTTGTTCAGCATCTTAGCTGTGTAGGGCAATGTCACTGGCCCTCATATGTGGGATCCGAACCCAGGATCTCTGGCGTCCCAAGCCAGCTCTTAACCAATGTGCCACTCGGCCAGCCCAGCACAATGCTTTTGAGATTCATCTGTTCTGTTATAAGTATCAATAGTTGGTTCCTTTTTATTTCTGAGTAGTATTCTATAGTATAGATATACCATAATTTATCTATTCACCTGTTGATGGACATTTTGATTGTTTCCACATTTTGCTTATTTTGAATAAAGCTGCAATGATCATGAATGGACACGATTTTTGTGTGGACATATGTTCTAATATGTTGTTTCATATGTTTTATGTAGGCATATGTTTCCATGTTTTATCTGGAGGAAAAATCTAGAATTGGAATTGCTGAGTCATATATGAAGTAAATATTTAACTTAATAAAAAGAAACTGCCAGATTGTTTTCTAAAGTTGTTGTACTATTTTTTATTCTCATCATCAACATATAAGAGGTTCACATGTTTTATATCCTTGCTAACACTTGGTATTTTTAAACTTTGTTGATTTTATCAACTCAAGTAAGTAATAGTATATTAATATGGCTTTAATAAGTGTTCCCCTCATGACTTAATGCTGTTGGGCATCTTCTTGTGTGCTTATTGGCCATTTGTAAATCTTTGCTCACTGTTTCTATTGAACTGCTTGTCTTCTTATTGAGTTGTAAGAATTCTTTATATATTCTAGAAAGCAGTCTTGTCAGGCATATATGAGTATATTGCAAATATTTTCTCTAGTCAGTGGTTTGACTTTTCGATTTCTTAACGTGGTCTTTTGAAGAGCAAAGGTTTTTAATCTGATGAAGAAAAACTTACCAATTTTTTCTTTTTATATTTCATGCTTTTTGTGTGCTACCTAAAAATTCTTTGCCTATCCCAAAGCCAAAAACATATTCTGCTATGTTTTCTTCTAGAAGTTTTATAGTTTTTGTTTTTATATTTGGGTCTATAATCCATTTGGGGTTAATTTTTGTGTTTGGTATAAACAGTAAAAGATCATTTCTTTCCTAAATCTTTGACAGAATTCATCATTGAAGCCACATCAGCCTGGAGCTTTCTTTGTGGGAAGATTTTTAACTACACATTCAAGTTCTTCAACAAATACGGAGCTATTTAAATATTGTATTTTTTTGTGTATCCATTTTGGTAATTTGTGTCTCTGGCAGGCAGAATGACCTCCCAAAGATGTCTATGTCTTAATTGCTAAAACCTGTGAATATATTACCTTACATGGCAAAAACAACTTTAAATGTGTGATTAAATTAAGGGTCTTAAAATGGGAATATTATCCTGGATTATCTGGATGGTTATAATGTAATCACAAGAGTTTTTATGAGTGAGGCAAGAGTGTCAGAGATGAGATGTGACAATAGAGCAGAGGTCAGAGTGAAGTAATTGCCATCTGGGAAACAGAAGCCAGAAATGCAAGTAGTCTACAGAAGCTGGAAAATGGAGGGAAACAGATCCTCAAACAGCCTCCAGAAATGCAGAGAAACCTATATAACCCTGCCAGTACCAGCATAACAAGCGCAGAGAAACCAATGGAGTCCTGCCAACACCTTCATTTTCGCCAGGTGAAATCCATTTTGGAGTTCTGACTCCTGGGACTGTAAGATAATACAATTCGTGTTGTTTTAAGTCACTATGTTTGTGGTAGTTTAACAGCAGCAATAGGAAATTAATACAAGTCTTTCATAAATGTATCTGT